TCTCTCCATTGCCATGGACGTCACCGGTCCGTTTCCTCGCGACCGGCTCGGGCACGACGGCATCCTCACGGTTGTGGACCGATTGAGTAAGTACGGGCGTTTTCTCCCTTGCAAGTACTACTCCACGGCTCCCGAGCTGGCACGCCTCCTGCACACTGGTTGGATTTGTGGCCACGGTGTACCAGAAGACATCGTCAGCGACCGCGACACTCGTTTCATGTCGGCGTTTTGGACTGCTCTCATGCAGGAGTCCGGCACAACAATGAAACCAAGTTCGGCTCGACACCCGCAGACAGACGGGTAGACGGAGCGGGCACATCAGACCGCTCAAATGATGCTTCGTACGCTCATCCGTCCGGACCAGAAAGATTGGGTTGACCGCCTCCCCGACATCGAGTTCGCCTACAACACTTCTGTGCATCAGGCGATCAGCGTGACTCCATTCGAGTTGCACCACGGTGGATGGAAAGGCCGGATCTTCGCCGACCTTCTCCTCCCTCGACCAGCCGACATTGACGTTACCTGCTCTCCCTCTTCCATCCGGAAGTACAGGGAATTGTTGACTCAAGCCCGCGCAAATATGCAAAAGGCTCAAGTCCGCATGCAGCAGCAAGCCAACAGGCGTCGCGTCCCATGTCCCATCCGCGCCGGTGATCTGGTTTGGGTCTCCGCGGAAGAGTTTGCACTGGAACAGGATGTTTCACGCAAACTGCTTCCCAAGTGGTTTGGACCTTGGTCGGTGACAGCAGCCGCGGGCGATGAGCCCGATGGCCCTTCATTTGTGATCAACATTCCAGAGCATCTGACGGTCCATCCGGTCTTCCACGCCTCGAAGCTGGCAACTTACATGCCAGCCAAGAGCGACGACTTTCCGGGCCGACGATCGCAAGACCCTCCTTCTATGGACGGCCATCAGGAAGTTGACCGCGTCATCTCCGATCGCAAGTACGGCAGCAAGCCGCGGCAGTATAAAGTCACATTCAAAGCATGCKATCGCGACGACACTCGGTGGATATCAGGCGCAGATTTGAAAGCATCCGCACCGCTGATCTACGCGCATTATGAAAAGCGCAGGTAAGCTCAGGAAGTTTCACGACCAGCCCCTCCCACCCGGACTATGGTCCCTCCCTCAGACAGACAGCTTCGCCCTCGCAGGTAAGCTCGGTTCTTCAAGGAGGGGGGGGTGTGGCATACTGGGTAGCCACACGGGCCTACAGGGCCCGTCCCGGACATTCAGCCTAAAAGCCTAAAACTTAGGGCTTACAGGTCCCGTTCATTTCAGCCTGAATGCTGAAAAACGAGGGTCTGCAGGCCCTACCTCGTTTCAGCCTATTTCTGGGTCTTTGCAGACCCAGAGGTTCAGCCTGAAATGGAGGGCCATTTTCAGGCCCTCATTATTTCGACCTGCCCCTAAGACTCAGGCACGGAATGCGGAACAGGCCCAAAATAGCCTGTTCCTCACATGCTCAAGCAGGAGCTGCAGCTGCAGCCCCTGCCTTCTGTCGGCAGGCTCAAGAGGCACACCCGTAGTACATAGGAAGGACCCATGCACTTCACGGGTAGTCAGTCAGTAGTCAGTAGGAGAGGTAGTCTTCAGGATTCGGCCGCAGCACTCAGGAGGAGCGCTGCAGTAGTCTCCAGCGCTAGGCCGTAGTGGTAGAGTTAGCTGTAGTCTTCGGCGCTGGGCGCCATAGCTGAGCTGCAGTCTTCAGCGCTGGGCGTTGGTAGGAGGTAGGTCGTAGAGTGGAGAGAGGCTGGCGGAGGCCAGCGTTACTTACCTGTGACGCCATCGCTCCAGCTCCATCTCGTGGTACCTGCATCAAGGCGCCAACTTCACAGGTTAGTACTGGACACAGAGAGAGCGAGAGAGAGTTCTTCTTCTTCCTCTTCTAAGTCCACCTTCTCTACTCACCCTCTCGCCACCTGACTTCTCAGACTACGACAGAGAGAGACAGAGTTGTGACTTGAGACTTGACGACATTGATCCAGACTTGACATTTGGGATTCAGACAGTTCGACGAGGGACTATTTGGGCTTATGCCGAAGACTTGGTGTTGACGACATTCCCATCTTCCCCCTCCTCTTCGTCTATCCCCTTCCTCCTCGKYTGTGYATGTTCTGGGCTGGCGCTGTCTTCCTGTGTGAAGCGCCAGACCCATTCACACTATGAAACGATGATGATGATGTATGTTCAGGGCTGCATTACAACATTGATTGTTNCCTCTTCGTCTATCCCCTTCCTCCTCGTCTGTGCATGTTCTGGGCTGGCGCTGTCTTCCTGTGTGAAGCGCCAGACCCATTCACACTATGAAACGATGATGATGATGTATGTTCAGGGCTGCATTACAACATTGATTGTTCGGATCACTAGTATCTAAGTCTTCCGCTGTGCTATCTTATACTTGTATTGAAAGGTCGGTTCTTGTTCTGGTCTGCACCTATACGGTATGCAACAAGATGGCACCAACACCGCTTGGCACTCTCTTACCATCCTTACCAAAAGAAAACACAGTCTTCCTCCCCCTGCCAGTCTACTGCAACTAAAGAACCGAGTGCACCTGGTAATTATCCCACAGCTACAAGCCATGGACAGATCTTTAACTTGCTTCCTGCTTCCTCTTTCTCCAATTTCCCTATTTATGCTTGTCATCCTTGGGGCCTCGCTCCACTACTCTTGACATGCACAAAAGAGAAAATTCATGGTCGCGCTGTATCTTTCCATGTTCTAGCGGATCCTCAACTTCCCAGATGATTTCCATAATGGACTGAGTCATGTCCTTCACCCATTGCTCCAGTCCCGAGGTCGCTCCCCTATCGACCTCTGGCCAAGCCTTGGCTGTTGTTGATAAGGCATCCACCAGATCCTGCAATCGACATCGACCCGCCTCCAGGAATGAAATCCACTGATCAGCTTCATATTGTAGATTAGTGCTTGTCGACGTCATCCCTAGCAACAACATATATCCCTACGTGCCCAGATGAGACGCCCCCTAAGTAGAAATTGCGCCGTCTAATTAACACCCTACACGTACCCAGTGAGAAGTGCACCATCACCCGGTCAAAAGACCAAGCGGACGACAAGAAAGACCAGGGCCAGCTATGGCCACCACACACCACTGCCCCAGTCCACGAAGTGCGACCGGGCCTCGCCGGCCAGTTCGTGGCGCAGGTTAGCGCTGGAGCGCTAGCGCGCCCAACCTCTCCTACCTCAATGTTCTTATTCCTTAGCGTAACCCCTGCTTCTCCATCTACTAGGCTTGGCAAAGGTCTTATAAAGTGGGGGATGGGCAGCCTTCTGGATGGTAGTGTCTAAAACCAACGCTCTTGGACAGACCACACGCAACCCACTCACACGCACACTCACACCCATGTTGGCTGAAGACCTTACTGATAGCAAACAACAACATCAGCCAAGGTCCTGCCAATGCTGGCTTGGGGGGCCAACAGGTTATCTCTAGCTGGTACAGCACCAAGCATGCTCAGGCACGTACGTCAGGCCAATGGGGGGGAATTGGACCCACAACCTCCTGAATGCAACTTCTGTGACTCACCTACTGAGCTAGGCCTGCAGGCCGATAGCTTGAATACATTCATTATCAGGGTGCGTTATGTTGGGGGGAAGGTGGTTAGGCCGGAACCATCTTCTAGTTGGCCTAAGCCTAATATGTATATCCAGTCTAATCTGTGTAGATAATAGTATCTAGGCTCCTAACCCCCAGTGAGGAACGGCAGGAGCAAGGGTCGGGGAACACCCCAACTTCTACCAAACTGACCAGAGGGGGCTAACCAACTACCTCTGCCATGTCCACCAGACGAGATGCTCTAGGTAAGAACACCCCTCCAATAGGAAAGGGTTCAAGAACATAGAATTCAGGATAATAACCAGAGAGATTTGATGATGATAAGGGAAGGATCTCTCTCACAAGGGAAAAAGGGTTCCCCTATAGGACTTGTAGTAGAATGTCTACCCCTAGCGTTGGAAGTACCCATACGGCAGGGCTCGTCCAACTATGCTTCAATCAGGGTTGGGGAGGAAGGTGAGGACCTGCTAGCCCTGATGCCTATAACCACTGTTCAGTCAGGTTGTGACGCCCAACCTCACGCCCGGCGCAACTTCCTGATCGGAGTGTGAGTGGGACTGGAAGTGCGAAAAAGGGGTGTGCCAAAGATTTTTAGTAAAGTGGGGGTGGAGTCTCAGGTCGGAACTGAGATCTTCTGTGGCAAGTTTCAAAGATAGGAATGCAAGAGGATAGGCGCGGTTCAAAGTCTGTTTCTATGCTTCTGAGTGTGGGGCTACCACCTATGCAGGTTCCGTCGTCTGGGTCGGACTCGTATTTGGTGCACGGTCGAGACGCTATGGCTGTCACGCTGTCTGACCACTTGTTGGCATCGTGCGTCACTCGTCTCAGAATCCGATATGGCTGGCCTTAGCCAAAGGCTGTGCGCCCGCCGTTCTTCCTCCGAGTGAGTTCGCTGGATGGAACTGGAGGCTCAGTACTCGCGGTTCTGCAAGCACTCCGAGCACGGGGTTTGGGGCCAGTACAAAGCGATTGTGTGGCTGGGGATAATGGTCAGCGAATGGAAGAACAGTATGCGGTGGTAGCGAGGGAAGTCGGTTTCCAGAATAATTACCCCCGGTTCCGCGACAAGGTGACACATGTACGAGTCGGGGAATTCCGGGTGGTGTGGAATGCACTCTCGAGCTCGGTCGATGTCCCACTCGCAGATACTTTCGTTTCCCACTGGGTATGGGGATTCGGGAAGTTCTCCCCTCGGTCGTGCAGACAGGCACTCGCACTCCCAATACTCCCGAAATTCCGGATCCCTCAAACACTCGTGGTCAGTAATACAAAAAGGGAGTTCAATATTCATGTTGTGGGGTGAGGCGGCAACTCAGTCATTCTAACAGTTGGGCACAGGCGCTGCAGACACGCGTGTAGGCCATGTGCGTCTGATTGGGCTTACATGTGTGTGCACAAGGCATGCCCTTCGGGCCGATGGACAAGGACCAATAACCCATGTCTCAAACGCGCTGGCCCGTTAACCGAGGGTGGATAGTCTTATCGTGAGGCAAACATCTGATCGTCTAGCATGCCTATTTAATTTCGACAGACAAATACCAATCGTCCACGCGTCCATTTTCATGCATACATAAAAAAAGAAGGTGACAATCGTTCATGCATCGAGATCGTACAAAATTTGATCGTAGGCAATTAACCAATCAATCATCAATGTGGTCCATCCATATACAGGGCAACAAAGTGGGAAAGCAATCATGCATCAATTAGTAGAGACCATACTTGCAAGCGGACGCCGTCCGGGCGGTTCTGCACGTGCGGTGGACCGCCGGACCGGACCCGCGCGGCGCACGAATGTGCACCCGACGACCATGTAACCCCCACCACCACCACCCCCCAAAAAAAACGGCCCCGTCCGATCCGGTCCAGTCCGGTCCGGGTCCGTCCGGTCCGGGGGGAGGGTGCCGCACGCAGCACAGTGGACCGGACCGGACGCTCGTCCGGTCCGTCCTCTTGCAAGTATGGTAGAAACAAACAAAGAAAAGATTTGAGATGCCGATCGAAGTCGGGGATCCATCAATTAGATCCATCAACCTAAGAGGTTAGAGTAGGGGAGGGGAAGAAAAAAACATACACGTCAACATAAAAGAGAAAATGACAAGTCCAAATGCCGATCCAGAAGGAAAAAGCGGGCCGATTTGCGCCGAATACCAAAATTGTTCAGAAGGAAAGGAGAAGAATCAAAATGGCTTAGAGGGTAAGAAGAAGAAGCTCATTGGACACTTTCGGCCTCTCTCTCTCTCTCTCTCTCTCTCTCTCTCTCTCTCTCTCTCTCTCTCTCTCTCTCTCTCTCTCTC